GGCTTTCAGCAGTACGTCTCGGGGTAATGAGGCCGCAATCTGCTGGGGCTTTGGGACCCTGTGTAGATGGTCTAGTAACAGCATATCTGTGTGGATCTCGGGGGCTAGTGCTCTGAAGAAGTCGTATATGTAGCTGGGGAGGTCTGCCTGGAGAATCGTCTCCGGTATGCCCCTCAGCCTGATATTGCCTCTCCTGGATCTATCCTCGAGGTCCATAATCTTTGTCTCGCATTGTTGCAGCTGAGAGGTAAGAGATTTGCTCTGTGGATGCATTGTGCGCGTCAATCAGGTCTTCCATTTTGGCTTCTACGAGTGTAGTGCGGGAGCCGATATCCTGTATGTCGCATTTCAATTCTGCAACACTTGATTGCCAGATTGAGATTAGCCGTTGTGATTGTTCCTCTAGGGCTTGTTTCAAAGTCATTATGGTAAGTGGCCCTCCATCGTGATGTTTTGGAGCCTGTTTCGGGCCATGTGCCTCCAGCTGGTGTGAGAGGCGCCATGGGCGCAAGTCTCTTTTGGCCCTTAGGTTTGGTGGGCGGACAGCGTGCATATTGCTCTGGTTGTACCCTCTCACCCTCTCACCCCTGTGTCTGCATTCTCTCTCCATAGCTGAAGGGCGTGATGTTGGCTCATGCTTTTTTGGGCGGGTGAGGATGAGAGCGGTCCGTCTGATGGCAGCAGTAACATTGCGTTGTGTGACCTCACATGAATCTTGTGATGAACTGCAACTTCCACTGAGCTCCCTAGCCTGACTTTGCTTAGGTTTCAATTTCAGCCAAAAGCCATTGAATATTTTATCCAGCCGGGCTAAGCTTGTCTCCAGCGAGTCAAGTACAGTAGAGGCCTGTGGGACGTCCGCCATTTTAGCTCGATCGGTGTCACAGGATTTGTGCAGCCAAGGTGTTAGCAGGTCCACAGTCCCTCCTGTAGCAGGTAGGTAGAGTCAATTAGCTGGTGCTGGGACATCCCTCAACGGCGGGGGAGAACAGGAGCCCTTCCGTCATCTGCAATCTGTGTAGAAATACCAGCGGGGAGATCATCCATGCCTCCCGCGCCTGTACTCTCAGGTAGGCCGCAAAGGCTTTTCAGGATTAAACTGCTTGTCTGTCGCTTAAAAATGCTGCGGATTCAGCTATGCCTCCACTGCACTTGTTGGGTGAGTGTGATCAGACTTTTGGCTGTAGTAAATGGCATAAATACATGGATTTTCCATGAGCTCAGTCCATTTGCAGCCTTCCAGCATGGCATTCATGCCCCACTCCCAGGGCCGGCGCGTCCATAAGGCGGCACAGGCGGCCGCCTTAGGGCGCACCGGTTTCGGGGGCGCAATATTTCAGTGACCGGCAGGAGGGAAGCTCTCCCTCCTGCCAGGCCACCGTCTGGATCCCCGGCGCGGCGTGCGGCAGTGCTGTGATCAGACGCGGCGAGGGAGCTCTAACCTCTCTGCTCTGCTCCCTCGCGCGCTGTCTGCTGATGCTGCGGGAGCCGGAATATGACATCATATTCCGGCTCCCGCGGTATCAGAAGGCAGCCGCGAGGGAGCAGAGCAGAGAGGTTAGAGCTCCCTCGCCGCGTCTGATCACAGCACTGCCGCACGCCTCCCAACAGCCCGACTGGACCCCAGGGAATGATTCATCATCCACACCAGCTCTCCAGGTAGGGAGGCTGGGTGGAAAATGTTTATTAAAATAATTAGTGAGTGTGTGTATGCATGTCTGTTTGTCTGTGAGTGACTGTCTGTGATTGAGTGTGCGTCTGTCTGTGTGTGAGTGTCTGTGTGTGTGTGTCTGTGTGTGAGTGTATGTGTGCCTGAGTGACTGTGTGCCTGTGAGTGACTGTGATTGAGTGTGTGACTGTGTGTGTGTGTCTGTGTGTGAGTGTATTTGTGCCTGAGTGACTGTGTGCCTGTGAGTGACTGTGTGCATGAGTATGTGTGTCTGTGAGTGAGTGAGTGAGTGTGTCTGTGAGTGTATGTGTGTGTCTGTGAGTGATTGTATGAGTGTGTGTGTGTGTGTCTGTGAGTGCTTGTATGAGTACTGCATATGAGTGTATGAGTGTGGCAGTGTATGTGTGTCTGTCAGTGTGTGTTTGTGAGTGTCTGTCAAATCAGTGAGAGTATCTTTGTCATTGTGTGTGTCTGTGTGTGAGTATCAGTGTGTCTGTCAATGAATGAGTGTGTGTCTGTCTGTGTGTGAGTGTCTGTGTGTGACTGTGTGTGAGTGTATGTGTGCCTGAGTGACTGTGTGTCTGTGAGTGACTGTCTGTGATTGAGTGTGTGTCTGTGTTTGAGTGTCTGTGTGTGACTGTGTGTGTGTGTATGTGTGTCTGTGTGTGAGTGTATGTGTGCCTGAGTGACTGTGTGCATGAGTATGTGTGTCTGTGAGTGAGTGTGTCTGTGAGTGTATATGTGTGTCTGTGAGTGATTGTATGAGTGTGTGTGTGTGTGTCTGTGAGTGCTTGTATGAGTACTGCATGTGAGTGTATGAGTGTGGCAGTGTATGTGTGTCTGTCAGTGTGTGTTTGTGAGTGTCTGTCAAATCAGTGAGAGTATCTTTGTCATTGAGTCTGTGTGTGAGTATCAGTGTGTCTGTCAATGAATGAGTGTGTGTCAGATCAGTGAGTCTGTGTGTTTGTCATTGAGTGTGTGTGACTGTCAGTGTGTATACACCACTGAGTGTAGCGTGGCGGAGCGCAGTACAGGAGCTTCTGTTTCCTGTACCCGGCCAGACTGACCGGAGGTGCTCACTGAGAGAGCACTCCCTGTCAGTCTGGCCAGGTACAGAAAATTGAAGCTCCTGTAGGGGATATCCTCCACTCTGCAACGCTACAAGAGAGGTAGGAGGCACACCAGGAAGGGGAGTGCGACCACTAAAGGGGTGGGGGGTGCACCAAGGGACAGGGAAGGGAGGGGAGAGAAACACCAAGGGACAGGAAAAAGAGGGGAGAGCTTAGAAGAACACTAAGGGACAGGAAAGGGAGGGGACCACTAATGGACGGGGAGAGGGGCTGGTTAAGAGGCACATAGGTGAAGATGTTATTTTGGGGGGGGGGGTGGAAAGATACATCTTCGCCTATGTACCCAGAAATCATTGCACCGGCCCTGCCCACTCCCATTGTTCTGGATTTTTAATGTTCCTTTTTTTTTTTTTCCTGTAGCTTTTTTTTAATCCCTTTACTTATTTTTCTCTGTCTTCTATTTTCATCCTTACTCTGTCTGCCACCTGCCTATTATGTAAGAAACTGGGAGAGAATTATGCAAATCAAATCGTTTATCTATAATATCTGCTCTCCCTACTTCAAGACCCAAACCAGATACATTTTTAGATTTTTTTATTTAAGTTCCAATCCTAGCTAAAGAGCCAACACTGTTTATGTTGATTCTTCCTATTTTAGTCTTTATTACCTTTTTTTGTATTGAAATATAGATATATGTGAGATACTAGTTATCACAGACCTCAATTATTGCTCGAAGATATATTATATTGTAGTTGCATTGTCTTTTACTCAAACCCAATATAAACACACGTGTACCCCTTTTTTTTGTAATCATGTAAATGCTGCATTTCAATAAAGTGTAATAAAAAATAAAAAAAACTGCTGAGGGATATTCAAATATATAATAAACTGTGAATTCCGAGTAAAATTTCAATATTATACAATTCACTCTTTTCTCCGATTTTTTTATTCATATTTTCTCCAAAATGTTATATTTTATAAGGCAACTTACTGAAACTCACTATTTAGTAATTTAATTCACAACAGTTTTATTTTTAGTCTTTTTTTAGTCTGTATGAATTGATGAACAGTTTTTTCAGGTGACAGGTCTGATTTAAGAGGCTACGCTGTGCAGAGAACAACATGAACTGCTAGTTGTATTAGACTAATTTCTCAGGGGATCGATTTCTAAGAAAACAGAGCCTCTGTATCGTTAGTTTAACTGATCACATTTCATTTATAGTTGTTAGTGTTTATTTCACTATAGAACATAGCAATGCCTCATGGTGGATGTGAGCATGAACGAAACATGGAACACCACACATTGTCCAGACCAACAGAACCAAATGCATACGACATTCTAGAATAGGTACACAGATACATTCTTATCTACCCTTGTTACTAGAAACCCAGAAGGCAAAATACAAAAACACGATTAACTATGATCTCGTGATATTATGGCAATACTGAGTCGGTTTTATTTACCATAATGCAGAATTGTAGTGAATTAATAACAGGATTTTAAAGTTCAGGCTTAAATAAAATTTTGAAAATAACAGATTTGAAGATTGTTTCCAAAACATTATTTTTTGCCAATAATTTGCAATTTGGTTTACAGTTCACAACAATTTGGTGTTTTGTGAATAAGCCTCCTTGTTTATTTTTAGATTGATTATTAATTAATATTAATTCTTCTGTCTAGTATATTATTTAAAGTGCATGTGTTACCTGTCAAATTTAGATATGCCCTAGATCAGGAGTAGACAGCCTTTGGCACTAGTGATGTCCCGAACTGTTTGCCGAACGGTTCGCGAACGGCTCGCAACGGTTCGCCACGAACGGTTCGCCGCGGACTCATCATTGAGTAAACTTTGACCCTGTACCTCACAGTCAGCAGACACATTCCAGCCAATCAGCAGCAGACCCTGCCTCCCAGACCCTCCCACCTCCTGGACAGCTTACTAAGAATGCAGCTTCACAATGGATGCTGTCCAGGAGGTGGGAGGGCCTGGGAGGGAGGGTCTGCTGCTGATTGGCTGTAATGTGTCTGCTGACTGTGAGGTACAGGGTCAAAGTTTACTCAATGATGAGTCTGCGGCGA